CGTTAGAATGATATCCACTGAAATTCAACCAGGGGGATACGAGGAAGTCATTTAACAATGTTACTAAGTTTGGTTTAAATATGGTTGAGATTTATGTTTGTTTATTTGTTTGTTTAAAAGGTTTTTGGAAAATAAAAAAGGGGGGGAACCAACTTCCAACAGGTATTTGAGCTATACAGCTACTGCGCTTTAAGAAAAGGGGATGTCTCCAAATGTTCTCCACCTAAAGGGTAGTGGGCATCTTCCCAAAATTCCACAATGCAGCACCAGAAGGAAAGAGCTGCCACTTTGGCAAGGCAATGCACCCTAATCCCTCTTCAAAGTACTAAATGAACCTAGCTTAATAAGATCTGAAAGAATCAGAGGCATGGCACAGGCCACCCTAATATAATATTTTGCTTGTGCTTAAGCCTAAGAAACATTAGAATGAAACGGCCTGCACAATTATTAATAAAGTTGCAGACACCTTAGCATTCTGAAATGTAGCATGATCCAACCGAAGTTAAACATGCGTAGCGATTGCTGGCTTATGCTCCATTTCTTTAAGTGTAAATATATAAAGCGACTTAGTGCTAAGATCCACTATGAAAAAGTATGCCTGTAGAGTAAATTAAAGACATTTGACTCAACCTGGAAGCTTAGTTCCCTTTCTCAGTCTGAAAATCCTTAGTATTGAGGGCTCCATTGTAGCCAAGACATGTAGGGTCCTCACAAAACGTCTCTATTCAATAAAATGAGGCTTACCACATTCCTTCCTTCTCCCCCTCTTAGTAGAGCTTTTATTTTCCCTTCAAAGATAAGGCAATGGTAAGCTATTCTTTAGAAAATGGCAAGCAGAAACTAGCAATTGCAAAAAAATAAAATAAAAAATCTTTTGTCTTCCTTTCAAACCTATCTCATAGCAATCCAAGGCTTGACACTTAGTAATGTTTTGTTTCTTTCTGATTTGTAGCTGGAGGCAGTCAACAAGTTGCGGCAGATGTTGGCATCACCGCTTCTCCTATCCTCAAGGAATGTACTCAAGTTAGATCCTGATCGCCTGCAACATGTTTTAACATCACTATGGTACGGCGTGTGCCAGCATTTGTCCTGCAGCCTGGCATGAAACAGAAGTTCCAAACCAAAGCTCCGCTGCGTATGACTGGTTTGCCTTGAAGGAGGGTTCAGACTTTTGAAAACTTTCCCCACCTAGAATTCTTTTCCTGTTCTTCTGCCACATTTGTAAACATCTGGCAGCTCACATGGCTGTGTCTGCTGCATGAAATCATCTGCAGGGCTAAATTTCTGCTTCTGCATGTGGCCTTTTGTTGGCTTCTCTTCCTGTTCTTTGCAGGGAGGGCTACTGTTCCACACCTCCCCATAACCGATAAAGCTTTTAAATAGCCCATTCAAGTCAAAGGAAGCCTTCCCAGGCCCTGAATTGGTCTCTTAACATTCCCTTTCTAATATAATCGTAAGCCTATCCTTGCATCTGTTCAGAGATGCAGCCAGTAAATATCTTTACCATTTATTTGCCCTTCTGGGTAATAATTCCCAACCTTTTCAATATCCTTCCTATAATGTTGTGCCAAGAACAGTACACAATAGTCCAGGTGCGCTCTTCACTAATGTCTCTGTTATAGGAGCAATTTTCCTGTGCACACCTCCTCCCCAAGTTTCTGTCCTCCTGGCTGCTACCAGATAATCCAATTTATTGGCATTCACCAGATTGTATGAAATGAGTGAGCAGTAGGAAAATAAAGTGGGGAAACGCATGTTGAATGAACAAGACAAAGGACCCTTTTATAGTTACATCTCACGTATGCACCTTTGCAATGTACACAAAACATCTTGACCTCTGCTGCACAAGGACTCCTTAGTGCCCATGCACAATTTAAATGAAGTCTAAATATGCATTTGCTTGCATTGTGCCCTCCTTAGCCTTGCCTCTCCCCATCTCTTCCCTCTCTCTGCTGGTTTATGTCTCTCACCGTGACCTTCTCACTCACCTTCTGCTGTGTTTGCCCTGCCTTAATGTAGGTTATAGGCATGGCTGTTTGAGATCCATGTGAATCTCTATCACAAGGCAACTGCTCAGTTACCTGGGGTGGTGAAATGAGCATGAGCTAACACAAGAGGGAGACAGCACTTAGAAAGCAAGTACAGCTTATTTATTCATATGTGCAGTTAGTGGAAAGAAAGCAACAAAAAACAAACACTCTCCCAGATCTTCTTGAGAAGCATGTGTCATGAAGACCCCAAAAAGATTTTCTACTTCAGACACATGGAACAGGCAGACACAATTCTTATTGTACAATGTTGTTGAAGAATTACACAATAAAGAACCATTATTTTATTAGTCAATAATCCTTATAACATGTGAACAACAAAAACAACAACAAAAAACACTCGTAGGTCTATAAACAACTGAGAAGCCTCTCCGTCTTTGTCCTTTTCTCTCATTCTCACTGCTTTTTCGAATTCCACTCCCAAAGCAAACCTCCCTGATTCACTGACTTGGAATGCTGCTGTCTATTACATGCAGCTTCCTCCCGAACACGCCAAAAAGGCTAAGTAATGCATTATACATGAAAACAAGGAGGGGCTGAAAGATCTGTCTCTGGAGCCTATTGTCTGTTGGACTCTGGGAACCAGAGGCCTAACACATTTACACATGGATATTCTAGGGCTGCAAATTCTAACAGCACCACTGTGTCCCACTATCCCAGAGATAGATCTCAATGCCCCTAATTACTATGACACTTGTTCCAGTTGGCTGCCACATCTTGTAGCTCCTTTGAAGAAGGAAAACCAGCCAAGAACTACAGAACTCGGGGACTTGTAGTTCATCACATGTCACACAGGGTAAGACACCTCTCTCAGTCTCTCAAAGTATAGCTAGAGTTTACTGTACAATCATTCTCCCTGCTTCACTCCCCTGGTTCTAACACGGGGATCAGCAACCTTTTTCAGCCATGGGCCGGTCCATCGTTCCTCAGACCATGTGGTGGGCCGGACTATATTTTGAAAAAAATGATGAACCAATTCCTATGCCCCACAAATAACCCAGAGAAGAAGAAGAAGAAGAAGAAGAAGAAGAAGAAGAAGAAGAAGAAGAAGAAGAAGAGGAGGAGTTTGGATTTGATATCCCGCTTTATCACTACCCGAAGGAGTCTCAAAGCGGCTAACAATCTCCTTTCCCTTCCTCCCCCACAACAAACACTCTGTGAGGTGAGTGGGGCTGAGATGCGTTTTAAATAAAAGCACACTTTCTAATCATGTAAAAACACCAGGCAGGCCCCACAAGTAATCCAGAGATGCATTTTAAATAAAAGGACACATTCTACTCATGTAAAAATACGCTGATTCCAGGACCATCCATGGGCCAGGTTGAGAAGGCGATTGGGCTGCATCCGGCCCATGGCCCTTAGTTTGCCTACCCCTGTTCTAACACTATTTCTGATTGGCTGTGACATACCTCAAAAGATCTTGCAAGATCAGAACAACTCCACACAGACACTGGAATACTAGTATGCATAAACATCTCCAACCATGATTTACTATTTAACCTCAACTGTTTTCCTTGTGGTGACTTCCCATTGTTGGCAACCCAGTTCCAACATTGCTGGGTCCAACATATATTTCATTTAATACTTATGTAACCCAAATGTAGCTGTTTTTCATAGTCTATACAGTGGTACCTCGGGTTAAGTACGTAATTTGTTCCGGAGGTCCGTACTTAACCTGAAACTGTTCTTAACCTGAAGCACCACTTTAGCTAATGGGGCCTCCTGCTGCTGCCGCACCGCAGGAGCACAATTTCTGTTCTTATCCTGAAGCAAAGTTCTTAACCTGAAGCACTATTTCTGGATTAGTGGAGTCTGTAACCTGAAGTGTATGTAACCTGAAGCATATGTAACCCAAGGTACCACTGTAGTTCAAATCCATCTATAATTAAGTGTCCTGTTTCTGGAGCAGCAGAGTATGGAAGTCTTGCAGTTCTCCAAACCACTATGTTCCACTGCCGTGCTTACAAGAGGCAGACAGGAAGTAACATAGGCATCCGCACCAGCTGACACCTTTAACCTATCCTGCTCCTTCTACACATGATAGCAACATAAAGCACATACTCATTCAGTTCCTCATGCTGGGCAGGCTACCGGTATCTTAAAATTTCTCTCTTCTGGGAACATGATCTCTGTTAGATCCTGTCATCGGATGAGGAAACAGCAACTAAGTTCAGCGCTGCAAGGGAATGTTCTTTTCCCATAAGCTGTGTGTTATTCCTGTCTCTCTCATATATATAGAAAGAGAGAGCGCATCTAGGCAACCCAAATTCTGTGCTGAGAAAAACAAAATCGCTGATCAGAGAAAGCATATTGCATAATTTCTCTTCATGATTGATTTTTCATTTCACATAATTTGCCTTGGCTTTACTAGATCAGGAGCGGCAAGGAACTTTCCAATGCACATATGCCCCATTGTACCCAACTATGGACCATACTCTCAGTCTGTTTTCTGGATTCCAAGATTTCCGCAGATATTTAACAAGCATTTTCAAGCATATCTTCAATGGGCAGAAAGTTTTAAAAGTAAAAACTGAGTTTTTTGAGAAATAAACTTCTGTGCCCAATGCCATATTATGTTGTTGTTTTCCTGCAGTCCCTACAGAAACAAAATCTTGTATCTATTCCTTGGCTATTATAAAGCTACATGAGTGCTCTTTTTGACACCAGTTTGGGCAACTATATCAGGGCCCAGGAAGTCTGATTTACCAGGCAGTCTGAGCCTAAGGTATGCCTCCTCCAATGCTTAAGAAGCTGACTATCCCTGATTTAGAAGGAACAGCATCGTCCAATCAGCTGTGAAGCAAGCAGTCAAAAAACTGTAGGACTCCAACCAACAGAAAGCAGCAGGACACATATTGTAAGAGATAGGGCCCTTGATACATACGGTCTTGTTTTTTACTCGGGTTATTTCCATAAGCACTCTTTACAAAATCTAAACAAGTGTGTGCTTACCTGTATTTATGAATGATGGCATTAAATAATTTCCCATCTCGCCAACAGGTAGTGAAATTTTCACAACGAATACCAGCATAACCCTCAGTTGTCTGCTGTGTCCACAGGAGCAATCTCTCTTTAGCAGACATGTCCTCTGACTCTCCAGTAACATGGATGTCAGAAATCTGTATCAAAATAAAATAAAAACAGCCAAATTAAAATAGATTAAGATCACTATTAAGAATACCATCAAATATCAGTAGCGCCTTAAACCCTCCCCCACCCCATCTCATTATGGTCCATCATTATTACGGGGTGGGGTGGGGGGTAGGGAGCTTAATCACAGCCCTGGCTCTTTTGGGCAAAGTCCCAAAGTGGCACGGATAACTTGGCATGAATCCCAGCTCCACTAATTCAAGCATGTCCCTGGGTGGCCTCTCTCATCACGAGTGCACGGAACCGAGTCTGATGCCTCCACACAGGAAGTACAGGACATTACAGAGTGGTGGTGGGGGGGCACAATAAAATCCTTCTCCAAGGATCCTAAATTTTAAAGAGGGCAATGAAGAGAAACAAAACAGAGCATAATAGCAAACAATGGATGGCCAACGGAAGAAGATAACAAGGGACGCACTCAGCAAGTGATCCTGTATGAGGCAATGGGAATAGAAATAGTGACAACTTCATCAATAAGTAAAAAGGAAATGTCTGATCAAGCTAGGGAGCAATTTTCTTGAAGTCTTCTGTTTAAGAAACTAGAATCGGCCAGTGCCACCATCAAGGTTTTCACTGAACCTTCAGAGGGCAGCTGGGAAAATCCCATTAATTTCTAGATGGCTGGAACTCTGGAACCAGTGATACTCAGATGCACAGCTGAGTGCACATAATGCACATGGGGATTGCTTGTTTGAAAATGAAAGCACATCAAAGTATTTCAGTAAGTGGAAGGCCAACAGGTCGGGGGGGGGTAGCATAAGCACCTTCTCTTTGATGCGTTGTCTTTACAAATGCATAGAAAATTTGAATTAGGTGGCTGCTTGTTCATGAGAAATGCCTTCTCCCACTCCCTGCTTCCCCTCACAAATTGTATTTTGAAGTGCACAGTACACAGAAGAACTGTCAGGAACAGCACATTTGGACCTGGCTGTAGGTCTGGAAGCCAGTTTTTCACACTCCTAGCAAGGCCCCATTCAAAGGAAGACAGCTATGCAGACTGCAAGGCCTATGCTGGTCTCATGCCTGGCCCTGTCAGCCACGTGAACCACTGGAAATTGAAAGACCAATCCCAACTCCCCAAATTAGAGGCGTGTCGACATGATCTCTCTCTCCCTTAAGAAGCTACTTTGTTCTGGTACATTTAAGGGCAATTATGCCAAGTATCTTTCCTAGTCGTCTCAGTTTCTATGCATGACAAAATATCCAGACCCATCATATACAGCAAATAAAACATGTGCCATGTTATTTGGGAGAGTTTATTAAAATGCTGGTGTCAACCAGAAGGGCCAGGTGTGCGTTTTGGTGGGGAGGAGAACCACCCTAAATTTTCTTCTGTTAATTTTTCTTAATTTTCTTTACATTATGCTCTCCCCCCCCCCCCACTTAAAATGTTATGGACTATTTCAAGCATGGAAGGAAGTGCAGAGTAATTTTTACAGCACAGGAGATTCCAAGTGGACTCTAGACCTTTCGCCCACAGTTTCAACAACTGTGTATATCGGAAACAGCACTTCAGATTCTGTTTCCCATAAGTGACTATTTGCAGGCAGCAGAACAATCTCCAAGTGTCAGTTATATCCATGATGACTCATGCAAATGGCATGTACCAGCTAGGATACAAAACCAAGAACAAAGTCCTATTTTAAACTGCAGTTGCTAAATGCTCTTGTTTTCAGCTCAACTGAAGATCTGAAATGAATATGTGAGTTACAATTGTTCTCACTTATATACCTACATATCGCAAAGCACCATTTGCAGAAGTATTGATATGGTCAAGAAAATGACTTAACAATAAAATAAAATCCTGGTTTAAGGAATAAGCTAAGGGGTTTGGGTTTTTTATTTGACAACTCTAGAGCCCCAACCTTCCTTCAGCTCCTATCTCCACAGTTTTAGCAACATATAGAGAAGAAAATTGGATAAATGTAAATGGCCCACCAGAAATCCTGTGTGGTGTTAGGGTCTCAGACTGGGCGACTATGAAGGCAGGCTCAGATATTTTATTCCCTAACACCATCAAGGCACTTTGCAGGCAGAAGAAAACTGCCAGCCTAATCTCTGCTTCCCTAAAGTGCCACCTCTGCAGATGGCGAGTAGGATCAGATGACATGAGGCATCGATAAGCTCCCACCTGGCCTCAAATTATAGCTGTTGTCTCTAGCCTGGCTCCTCAGCAATTTGTCTGAACAACTTATCACTCAGTGCAGCTTGAGATGCTACAGAGTGCCTAGGAGCATTGCCTGAGTCTGTCTGTCTGACAACCTTACAATGCGGCTCAAATGAAAGTGGAAGACAGGGAGTGGTGTGAATAATGAAATATCATGAATTAGAAATGCTGTTTCAGAAACTTTCAGGATCAGAAAACCAAATTTCAAAGAATTACTCGTTTATATTAATGGGCCCATTTAAGATAAAAACGCTAATTTCAAAAGCTAGATGCACATCACTACAGTTAGAAAAACAAAATAACTATTGTTAACTCATTAAAACCAATAATTGCTTTCATAGCTTTAAAGCAGGTAATCCCTTGCAACTCACTAATTAGTAATTATCACATAGAGATTCAGTAATCAGCATAAGTTCATTCTCTTTATATAGAATTGAAGTGAGAAGATTATTGAAAAGAACCAAAAAGTATACAGCAAAATCGTATTTCTCAAACTTTAGGGCTGCAATCCTATATACACTGATCCAGGAGCCATCCCTATTGAACACAGAGGAATTTAACCTCCGAGTAAATAAATATGCATAGGATCGTGCTGCAGGATCAGGAGCTCTTCTAATTCTCATTAAATTCAATGAACAGGACATTTCCCATTGAAATCAAAAGTGAAACATTTTATTACCTGTGTGGCTACAGGTTTATTAATGGGCCCTTAGCCTGCAAAAGTGGGGACGCTGTGGGTAAAAGCCTCAGCACCTAGGGCTTGCCGATCGAAAGGTCGGCGGTTCGAATCCCCGCGGCGGGGTGCGCTCCCGTCGTTCGGTCCCAGCGCCTGCCAACCTAGCAGTTCGAAAGCACCCCCAGGTGCAAGTAGATAAATAGGGACCGCTTACAAGCGGGAAGGTAAACGGCGTTTCCGTGTGCGGCTCTGGCTCGCCAGAGCAGCGATGTCACGCTGGCCACGTGACCCGGAAGTGTCTCCGGACAGCGCTGGCCCCCGGCCTCTTGAGTGAGATGGGCGCACAACCCTAGAGTCTGGCAAGACTGGCCCGTACGGGCAGGGGTACCTTTACCTTTACCTTAGTCTGCAAAAGTGGACACGGATTTGCATATGACACAAAGCACATGGACATGTTATGGAAATCCATGTCCACTTTTGAGAGTTGGCAGGAGGGCCCAATCCTCAGTGAAGTGAGTCCTAAAAATCTTGAGGAACCTGCTTCTGGGTTGCACACGCACACACACACACACACACACACACACATTTCTACACATAGACCTCAGGGAAAACATTTCTACCCCAGTCTTCTTCCTGACACCTGAGAATTTCTTTTCTCTTCTTGCTGGACAAAGAAACATGTAACCCTGCAAAGCCCAAACAGACCAGACACAGGTTTTCTACCTCAGTGAGGCAACAGAGTAGATGCAAAATGGGGGAAGACCCAAACTACACTAGGTTGAGGGAAGCCATGACCCTTTCCCTTCTCCATCTTATTTCTTTGCGCTAGGCTCCAGGCCAAGCTTGGAGGTGTGCGGAGAAGAGATAAATTGGGCATGTCTTTTTTGCTTCCTTTCTGATCCCTGACACCAGAACAAAATTCACAGTGGAAGGGAGAGGAGGGAAGCAAATCTGTTCACCAAGTATTTAACAGACATTGGTTAGTCATACTATAACCTTTTTTAAAAAAAATAAAGTCCCTACTTTTGGTCTGATGAATAGTACTGCCTGAGCTAAATCCCTCCCCTCTCCAACTCCTTAAGTTCAAAAGTAATAATAAAATTGTAAATTAATTCTGCTGTTGGTGTGATCCTTTTTTCTTTCTTTTTTGCCTCATTCTTTATTCATTCAGATAACCAGACGCCTAACGTACTCAGCAGCTTGGCCTGACAGCAAATTGAAAAGGAAACCAGCTTGTCTTGTAATAGTATAATGCCTTATATATAAGCTACTTCAAGTAATCAGACTTTTCACATGGAAATCTAGAGTGCATGTGACTATATTTGTGATCATGAGGCTAGTGCATACAACCCAAAGGTTTGCGTGAAGGGCTCTCTTCAGACGTGCCACATCTTACACCTTATATCAACAGCAATAATCAGCCAATTTTATACTCTGCCCTGGATTATGTATTCTGAGGCAGGAGGGCAAACAGAGACACCCTTTCCTCATTTGCAATAAAGTGCTGTGTATGCTGATAACAGAAGCTGACATGATTCTACAATCACTCAGAGATAGTCTGAATAGAGGTTAAGCCGGGCAATAAATGTACGAGAGCCAACCTGAATGTTATTAAAGAGGCACTGGTTGCTACTGCAAACCCTAGCTAGAATTTGAGCCAGGGTTCAGCTCCAACTGGAACCTGCTGACAATGCTAATGGTTCATGCCTGGTGAAGCTCCACATGCTTCTGATCAATGTACAGTGGTACCTCGAGTTACAAACACCTCAGGTTACAAACACTTCAGGTTACAAACTCCGCTAACCTGGAAGAGTTACCTCGAGTTGAGAACTTTGCCCCAGGATGAGAACGGAAATTGTGTGCCGGCAGCGCATCGGCAGCAAGAGGCCCCATTAGCGAAAGCGCACCTCTAGTTAAGAACAGTTTCAGGTTAAGAACGGACCTCCGGAACGAATTAAATTTGTAACTAGAGGTACCACCTTGCCACTTCACACACAATACTAAACCATGGCTAACTAAACTATTGATTATTAAACGATGGCTTGGTGTTATGTATAAACTCTTCCCACTGGCTTAACTACGGCTTGTTTACTGCCAACAAACCATGATTTGAAGCCATGGTTTGT